TACGTTTTCTTGACGAATCAAAGCTGAAGTGATTTGAGGAGGGGTTTGCAATCTGCGGGGGGCGTGAAGAACAGCTTGAGTTGGATGGGATACCATAAAGAAAAGCTTGTAGCTAGCTAGAATTGCAGTGCTATGAAAGTTGCTACAGCTTTTATCAGGATACTTGTAGAGGATGCTCTAGTTCCTTGGCTGCTTCGTAGCGGTAGGGTATCGTAGCGCGAATGGTCGGTCTAAAGAGCATTGTTTCCTGGAATGGATAGCCAACAAACCCGGCCACTGTTCTTCTTTTGCGACAGCAACCAATAGGATACATGACTGGTGCGGCAAGGACAAATCAAACCAGCTGGGTTCTAGCTAGCTAGCATTGGGGTGATGGTCGGTGAAGTTGTACGGATAATTTGGGGGTGAATAAAGAGTGGCGAATGTCTATAAGGCAACGTTTGCAGAAACAAAGTGGTACTACACTGTATCAAATGCGTAAACTGAGGCACAGAATGAGTTGGCACAACCCAATGTAACCTCAAACTTCGAACCAACGAACACCGGAGAACGACCAGACATCAGACTCATTGGCAAGACACTTTGCTGAAGAAGTATTCCTCAAACTGATGGACCCTATGAACAAAGATGACCTACGGAACAGTGTTCAAGTGAGCGACCTGAGGCAAGGCAACCCCATCAGCACTATCAAAACCTTCCAGACTCGACACTGCCAACTCTGCAACATGGGAAGACTTGAAATACTTTGACCGTCTCAAGAATCACTAGAAACAATGATCAACACATGCAAGGAAATCTACGGCACCTGCCGACACAAGCCAAAGTTTCACAAGCACATATAATTTAGCCCAGCACTGATGAGTCTCACAGAGGAGATGAAAGTCATGCGGAAACCAAAAAGTTACCACAAAGGCAAAAGTCAGCCTGTGTTTTAGTGATTTGGCAGTTGGTGACCTGTTTCAGTAAAATTTTTAGTCACTCTTTGCTAAAATCGGATCAATGGAGCGGTCAATTCGCGTGATTTTGTGATTTTATAAAGTGTGCTGATTGCATTCTTGCCAGCAGAGTTCGAATGGTCCCGTGTTCAAATCACGGTGGGCGCTTGGCGGTGACCTGATCACCATAGCGTCTATAGCTCAGTGGCAGAGCGTTCGATTGCAGATATTCTTATTTTTTGTCAGAGTCGGATTTTTGCCTTTGTATCACTGAAGCTTGACAAGTTAGTTGATGCATCAGAAAAGGTGGAGAGGTGTGCTTGGTACAGTCTTCCAACGTGAAGCGTCCAGTGATGCCTCAATCATGATTCTGACGGCGCAACAAATCTTTATGGACAGTGAGTCCAGTCCATGTGGCTGTTGGATTTGTCATGAGGCAGTAGTAGTGGCACCAGTATTGTACTGTCCGGGCGGCACAAGCGACACGGCTTTCCATACCGCGCAGAAATGGGCATCATGTTGGCGAATTTATTTTGTCAACAGCGCACACAACAATACTAAAAAAACGGAACACAGAGATCAAGGTGTTCAGTTTGAGGTGCTAAGCATTGGCCAAAGATGTTTTAATTAATCGGCGGGGGAAACTATAGCATATGCATGCCAACTAGACTAGTCTCAACGTCAAGACTGCTCATGATCAAAAAGCAACTACACGTGTACTGAGTAACTGTTGCTCACTGTCAGCATTGAGTCAGCATTGTTGGGCCCATTGGGGCAGCAGTCAAAACGTCAAAACGTCAAAACGACGACTCTCCAACCCCATTGTTTCCTCTGCAGCCAAGAGTCATGCGTGTTGGGCGTTCAAGTTGTAGGAACTGTACGGTGAGAGAGTTGGTGTGCCTCATGCCTTGCCTTTATTTATTTGTTTCCGCGTTCCTCGGCGATCGGAGAGTCTCGGAGAAATAAAATTTGTGTTGTGCGGCGAAAGGGGGCTCACAATAAGTATCGTACAACATATACACGAACCCATTAATTAATGCATGAGGTCTCCAATGTCCCAAAGAGAAATAGCTGGTTTTCCTCTTATAAATCCTATTTTTCAATGATGAAGGTCACTCGGAGCTATTAATTAATAATTGGACATCTGGAAGCTTCTGGACTTTCTGGATGAGTTATTCTGTGCTCCTATTTTAAAATACCTGCTCCTCACTTCTCACGCTGAAACTCGATCCAGTACCACGTGCACCGGTACTGCAACTATCCGTAAGTACTTTCTACCCACTTTAACCCTCCAGAGCTCCAGCGACTTCGCGACTTCACCACTTTCTTGTCTCTGCAAAAGTAACATGGTTTATTGACCGACTTTAGACTGGCCTAGCGAGTCGGTGTCATCAGCAAGTGTGCAAGCAGCAATACTGTAATCTTGCGAAGCAAAATGCACAGCTTGGGAACCACGAGCTGCAGAGATCGAGGAGGGGGCTCTTCAATCATCACTCACAAACAATGAACGGAAAGGCAGCAGACGCCCAACCTAACCCAACCTGAAGCCAAGATGAACAGCCAACAATCCATATCGCTAGAGGACCAGACAGCGGACACCCTGCGCCATTGGGACCGTCTTCGAACAGATCCAGCAACCTTCGGTGTCACTCAGACCGAACTGCACGAAGAGTCCAATGTGATTCGTCTGTCAATACTACTAGTAGAAGACCAAGACGGCGGTGCGGATGTTCGTCTGTGTCATTTGACGAGCATGTTGCCATCTACCAGCGATGATCAGGGAACTCTTCAACCCAATTATGGCTTGTACACGGAAGGCGCTGGACTGTTAGCTCTCCTACATTTCAATCAACGTGATACTTCTATAGTCCCGGACCTGGGTCGGCTACGAAATACCTGCAACGTCCAACTCACCATGAGTTTTGGGAATACCCAGTTTTCTCCCATTGAGGCTTGCCGTGTGCTGGCGCACGAAGTGGATCCCATTGATCGACCTCACTCTCTCGAGCAACCGCATCCAATATCTCTGGTGGGAGCCACCCGAAGCGCCGTCACAGGACCTCTATCTACATTGGCCAGTGTCTTCGAGTTGCCAGTGGTCAGTTATGGATCCACCAGTTCCCAACTCAATTCACGAGCGAGCTACCCGTACTTTGGACGTACGGTACCAACCAATCAAGGGGATGCCATTGCGGCGGCGCAATATTTTCGACAAGTGCTGGGGGTCACGCACATGGGGACTTTTTTCATCAAGGATGGCTTTGGATCCGCCTTTCACAAAGAATTTGTTTCGGCCGCCAAAAACACACTGAATCCACCCATGACCATGCTCAGTGTACCCTACGATCCCAATGGGAGTGAGGAAGAAATCCGACGGGCAGTGCAACAACTAAAGGATTCGGGGTATGAATTCTTTTATGGCATTATCAGCACACCAACCTACAATACAGTGATGCGACAGGCCCACGCCGTGGGGGTGGCAGGGCATCCGGGGAAAACATGGATATTATCGGGAGATTCGGGGCAAATCTTGGGGACCGATTACGCATATGATGCTGCTACAGAAGGGGACTTGGCAGCCGCCACGAGCGGTATGGGAGTGATTAGTTTGAATATCCCACACAATCAGGCGTTTGACGAGGCATGGAGTATGCTGGAAGGAAATAGAGCCATCAAAGACTATTTTGTTCAGAAACACAGCCCGTTACTGAACTTTAGCGAGTTTCAATTTTACGACGCACCAACCTACTGGTAAGATCATCTTCTACCTGGTCGCTTGCTTGATGTTGTGCAAATAAATGAAAACTGTTGGAGACTTTTCGTGGTGGTTTTCTGATCACAGCAGAGTTTCTTACTCTATGCTCTTCTTCTCCAACCATGACAACTAACTCTCCAGGGACTACTTGCAATATGATGCCGTAATGGCATTGGGGTTTGCGGCTTGTGAAGCACAACAAGAGTTCTTCACTGGGTCTCAACTCTTTGATTCGATGATGAAAACGTTGTTCCGTGGCGCCTCCGGCGTTGTAGAGTTTGACGCAAATACAGGGACGAGAAAGACTTCCAGTCTTGCCTACAAGGTTACCAATGTCGTGGCGAGGCCACCGGATGCGAATGGCAAGATCTATTTTGATACCGCTGATACAAGGATACAAGATCCTTCACTCAACAATTCGTGGATATTGATTCCGGGTGCTCCCGCATATGTCTATTCTGACGGCACAACGACAGCTCCGCCTGCATTGCCACTCCTCGAAGAGAACCAAAATTTGATTGGAGTCGGGATCCTGGTAACAGGCTTGGTTCTGGGAATCATGTGTGTGGTCTTGTCCGCACTGTCTGCCGCATGGGTGCGATTGTATCGCGATTCCCAAGCGGCGCGTATGGCACAACCATTCTTCCTTTTTATCATCTGTTTGGGAACGTTCTTGATGGCCCTCGCCGTCATACCCATGAGCTTTCAGGAACCAATGCCGAAAGCCGTTTTGGATGCCGGGTGCATGTCGATACCTTGGTTGTTCAGTTCAGGATTTGTCATTGCGTTTTCCGCTCTCTTGTCCAAGACTCTCAGAATCTATCAAGTAAGTGCCACACATGCATGATTACATGCGTTGACAGCTGTTTCCTTGAAAATTTGGCTAATGATTCCCCCTGCTTTCTTTGCTTCTAGCTGATGCAAGGTGGCAAATCCTTCCGACGCGTAGTAGTTGCTGCAAGCGACGTCATGCGCCCTTTTCTGGTCTTGGGTACCCTCAATGTCAGCCTATTGGTTGCCTGGACAATTGCGTCCCCGCTTCGGTGGACTCGCGTTGAATTGCAAAACTATGACGAATTCGGTCGCAACACAGACAGTTACGGCTCCTGTCAAAGTGAAAATGAAACTTTGCAGCACGCTTTTGCTTGGCCTATAGTTGCGGTGGACTTGATTGCTTTGGTCTTGGCCAATGTCTACAATTATCGCGCTCGAACAATATCCGACAAGCTGCACGAAGCCGGTTCCATTGCCCTTTCCTTGGCCATCATGCTGGAAGCTGCGTTGATAGGAATCCCTGCAATGTTGGTGGTGGAGCAGAACCCCTCCGCTTACTTTCTTATCCGGTCAGTGTTGGTGTCCATCGTCTGTGGTGCTATTCTACTTCCGATGTTCATCCCCAAATGGCAGGCCACTTTGTTGAAGGATGAATCGGAGACACGGCCAGCCGGTGGGATGAGAGCCAACATGATGTCCACAGTATTCATCAGTCCGCAACAACACGGAGGCACCGTTGCTGCCATTCGCTCAGTGGCACTGGAGAGTCGAATGTCTGGTTTGGGGAGTAGTCGTGGTAACTTCCAATACCCGGCTACTGGCGCTGCCTCTGGCCTTGCTGCTGGAACCTCGGCAAATCTGTCGGGTAACTTCGGAGCGAAGTACGAAAACGGCGGAACTGACAAGGGTAGTGTTGGCTTCACAACTAATGAAGTCCCTACATGGACAGAGAGTTCCGTCATACCCGAGGGTCCGATTTCGGCTGGTGAAATGTCGGCTTCTGATTCAGAGCAGACTGAATCACGACAAGGTGAAGAATCTGATCCAGAGTCGATTGCGCAGGTCGAAGAAAGTGGAAGTGAGGATATATTTGTTGACGAACCAGAGGACGAAGCTGGAACGGGCTCTTCAACAGGCATGGACGACTATTATGACAACATGTACTTTCTGTGACTTCGGAAGCGGCCTGGCGTTTCTGTGCCACGAGCAAAACGATTGAGTCTTCAATCAGCCTTTTGCGCTCCCGAATCTAGCAGCATGGGTTTGAAGCTGCGTACCGTACCTACTCCACGTTCTCGCTGCGCTGCCTGCCAGCATATAAATAAGCAGTATGAATTCATTCTTCTTTTCTACTAGCTACCGGTACGAGCTCTGTGCGTGACACTTGTCAAGCATCTTTTCTTTGGGGGGGGGTGCTAGCTTGGAGAGGCTTTCACACAAACAACCTTGCCACCTTGCCACCAATGACACAAGCTTTTCTGACAACTAGCTCATGGATCGTCTCCACCAGAGGCGGACTATCCGTGCATAGGGTTCCCGCGACTGCCTTTGACCCGTCTCCTCATCTTGCCGCATTGTGTTTGCGTTCGACGATGGCAGATTCGATTGAATTCCACGAGACGACATCATTTCCACTCTTCTTGGAGATTGAGCTCGTCTTCCCCCTTTCATGCATTGGGAACAGCGAAGAATCGACATCTTCAGCGGATTGCAATTTCTTGTTCGGCGGCATGGCGCACCGGAGCAAAATATGATATTGATGTAAATTTGAAAGGTGCGCTAGAGTTTGGCGAATACCTCATGTACGGTAGGTGTCCTTGCAGCTAAAGGGCAACTTGGTGCACAATCTGAAGTGTTTTAGATCTGTAATCCCTCGTTCAATATGAAGAGGATAGTCACCGTCTTCGCCTCGTCTGGTCCTCGGCATCCCTCGTCTGGTCCTCGGCAACGATGGCTCCATCGATTGGTTCTCCCCATTTTTGGTGCTCTTTTTGCAGCTGTGAATGTACTGTTTCTCTTCAACAACAAGAATGACCCATCCACAACAACTTTCATCACTTCAAACCAAGCACACACTTCGCAGAGATATCCCTTTGTTCCAGCCGATGTCATTGTTCAATGTGGCCTAGTGGAACACGTCAATTTGAAAACCTTGCCCAAGCCACTTACTAAATCACTGGGATTTGTCAAACCTCACAAGACCGGAGGCTCTACTGTGGCAAACATTGTCAATCGAATTGTTTGGGAACGCAACATGACCAAAATGATTCCTTCTGATTACACCTATTTGGGATGGCCAACACCTTTTCCAGGAAACTACAAAAGTATTGAGAGCGTCAATGGGTCTGGTATCTTCAGATTTGACGCCGTGTCCAATCATGCTGTATTCAATGCAGATGCATTTCGGACTTACCTCAAAGAGCCAGCCCTGATCTTTACAATCCTGAGAGACCCCATGGAGCGCGCCATTAGTGCCTTTCATTACTTTCCTCCGTATAACTCTGGAAACTATACATGGCAGCATTTCATCCGAAAGTACAAGAACACCACATATATCAAAACATGGGACCAGGCAGTGCATGTGAACCCAATGGCATATGCCTTGGGATGGTATCATTTGCGACCACCACTTCCCAGTGACAACAACAAAAGTAAAATGAAGGGGATGATGTGGACAACAGCATTTGATCACAACAAATCAGCTATTAGAGATTTCATCAAGAAGGTGGAGGATGAAATTGATTTGGTCATGATTCTTGATCACTTGACAGAGAGCTTGTTGTTGCTGAAGGATGAGTTGCCTCAGCTGGAAGTGACAGAACTGCTGTGGTCTGATTTCAAAATTTCAGGCAAGGGTGCTTCTGGTGATGACACAGGTGGCACAAACAACAGAAAGAGCCACAAAATCTACCCAACTGAAGCGGAACGACAAGAGCTGTCCAACATGATGCTTGTGGATCAGATGCTATATGACCATTTTCGGGACAAGCTATTACTTCGATGGAAGGCCAAAGAGGAGCGAGCACCAGAAGAGACCCGTCAACTGAAGAATGGCCTCAATTGCCTTCATGAAACTGTCACACAACTTCTCGCAACCGAGAAGAACCGCCTCCCAAAGCGCCTGAGGATATGCTTATCCCAAGATTCTCCTGGCTTTACACACTTGCAGTCCACCAAGCAACAAAGGGTCAATGTTGGCAACTGAGTGCAACTACCGGTAACTGTTGTCGTTGAATGTTCCGAGTTAGTTGAGTGACTCAGTCGGCGTGGCTTCGCATAGATATTTGAATCCATGTTTCAATGTCAAGATACCGTGCCACATGATTGGCGTGCCCGACCTAACTCCCACAACTTTCGCACGATTAGATTAATCATTAGGTTGAGAGTGGCGCGGAGCAACGCGATGGGTGAGACTGTGAGACTAGCTTTATGTGCTCTCGTAGCCAAATCCAATCTTACTTTATCTAATTTGGGCGGAGGCGAAACAAGCAAGTAGGATCGATTCCGTTTGCCAATAAAGGCGCTCGCTCAACACATTCCGTGAAAGCAAACAAAGCAAGCGACCGATTTCCTTCACTCAGCGATCTCACAATAATATCAACCCATCTCACTCTACGCCGTTTGTCCAAACTCCAACTAGCTAAAGATGATGTTCAAAGCTGCCACCTTCTCTGTAATTGCTACAGGTGCCCACTTGCGCACTCGTAATCATCAGATACCTGCCGTCGTTGCAGACACAGTTCACCGCCCTTCCCAATGGGCATCCACGCTACCCTTCGTGGAAATGGAGTGCGGGGCCGAAGCTATGGCGTGTGATGTTGCCTCGACATCAGAAAACGAGGGTACCCAAGGATTTTTTGTTTGTCGTGAAATGGAGCAAGGCATTCGTCAGACAATATGCATCGTAGCCGAACGAGGGCTGGAAGCGGATATGTGTGGTTGTTGCAACGAACTTTGCACAGCAACAGTTCCAAAAAACTGACTGGCCTGAAGACTGGACCATCACTTATTCCCAAACGACCCAAGCCCGTGGAAAGGGCATCTTCTGCATATGACAATGGATAGAAATTTCCCTTATAGATTGCATGTTTTAGTATTATATTCTAGCTGCCGTCGTAACAGTAACCAGAGTAGGTAATTCTACTTCATGATGAGAGAAGAAGTTTCGCTGGCTAACCGATTACTGTATCGTTGTTGAATGTGAGGGCACCGCAATAAAACATGTATCTGGTAGGCAATGACTCGGTTGAGCCAACCATTGGCAACAGCTCCGTAGACTCCCACCAAGTCAAGTTTCCGGCACGATAAGGTACCAATCTTGTTATGATGCCAACAGAGTCCAGAGAGGAGGAGGATGCAAATTGTTACCTCTTGGTAATGGATAAACAACCGGACAGGCAACAAACCTTCAGTATACAGTGCCACTCACTCTCACATACTTGCATTGGACGAAGCGAGCGTCGCTCAAGCACAAGGAGTTGAGACCGGCTTGATCAGGAAGGAGAGTTGCCTAGACTCCCATTGAGAACGTCAAGGTATAGCCGCAAGTCGTCAGGGCCTATCCTCAGTAAAATGCGGACAAAGTCATAAACCACAAATGTCATGCTGGCTATGAGCGAGTAGAAGACGATGCGAAGAGGCAAGCCCACGAAGAAGGTGGCAACTCCATTGCGTTCAAGCATGTTTGCGACAGCTTGTTGCGGTGTTAGCTCTGTGGAGCTTTTCTTCAGCTCAGAGATGACTGCGTCTGCTGGGTTGCTTACACACGCCGCAGCAGAGCCTCCCAGAATGCCCCCTACCAGACTGACAAGCAGGGATAACTTGATGTCCTCCTGGGCTGCTGGAAATGCTTCGTAGAGTCGTTCCGTAGATATGTCTGACGGTTGCCAGTGGGTATCGTAGGGTTAGTGGAAATTCAACGCTTGACATGCAGACATGCTCCGCGTACTTCCAAATCAGAGACTCACCAAAGATTGTAAACTTTGTCATTGCATAGGGAATATTGCGCACCAGAAAGACAGGAATAGCGTCCGTCAACGAGCCAATGCCTTCTTCTTGGAGCATTTTGGTAAACACTTCAATAGAGTTTGGAGCAAAGTCGGGCTGGGCAACTGTCCGAATACGCACCGCCTCAAAGGGGCAGCTCAACACGGCTCCCAAAGCCGACGCTACTGCTGCTGCGGCCAAAATAATGGGGACTTCAAGATTCAAAGCTTCGACTCCAGCGGCTTCAGTAAGGTACCGGCGAATGAACTCCGTTGTCACGTACAATACTCCACCTGAAAGGAAATTACCGAGAATAGTGGGTATCCAGCCAGTAAAAAAGGTTGAAAGCCCATCCTCTTGGGCAATATTCTGAAAGGCCGTGGCAATATTGGGGTTTTTGTCTGGAGCTGTCTGGAGCCGAGTTTTGGCGACGTCCAGTGGAGTCAGTGCGAGGTGCACAGCGGAGGCACACGTAGCTCCCGACAAGCTAAACCGAAGGTAAGCTGATAAGTCAAGCTCTCTGTCTCGTTCAATTGGCGCTCTGCCGCGTGGTCCAAACTCTGTACCAATGATTCGGCTGGAACCCTGCTGTAGAAAGGCTGGATACTTCTTCATATACTCGGTGTCCATGGCCAGAGCATATCTTTTGGCAGAAGAGTCGTATTCCAAGCCCACTCCTGCGGGAAGCATTCGTAGCAGTTCTGCAGAGGATGACGCCCGCCCAGTCCAGAATGGAAGCCGAGGGGCCGCTGCGCCACTATCAATACCACTCACTGCACCAGACCCTTGTTGCAGATTGTAGCGCTTTTCAAAATTCGACTCTTGATCTCTCAGCTCCTTCGTATCATCATCTTTTCGAAAAGAAGTGAAAGAACTTTTCTCTGCCACGGGATAGGTCAACCCGATTAGAACGGGTTCTGCTGAACTGCCCTTGTTCTTGCTGATATTTTCAGGGAAAGGTGTGAGATAGACTTTGGTTGGTTTTTCCACCGCGTACCCGGATCCTTCTCTGGTAACATCTATTCGGGAAATAGCCATGTTCAGCACGGGAGCCACCACTGCCGGTTCTCCGTCTGTGGGCACTACCACAATTTCAATGGGATCCTTGTCTGTGTACCCAGAACCTGTATCTATGATACGAAGACTCTCCACTTGGCCCTTGACAATCTTTGCTTGGACCTTGGCTGTAATGCCACCTTCAGTAGGAGGCGGTGACACAGTCACAATAGCAGGACTGCTGTAGCCACTGCCTCCATTCACAATATCGAGTCGCAAGAGATTTCCGGTTGGCTTGAGAACAACGCGACCTTCAGCTACTTGGAAACTGTCACCTGCTTGGGGTGGATTAAAAGTCACAATGGGTTCCCTTCCCAGTTCGAATCCTTGCATTTGAAGAGCATCCTTGTTGAGTTGAACAGACGATACACGCCCATTGTCGACTGCTGCCAGTAGCTTTGTAATTTCTTTTGTGGGTTGATTGACTTCCATCAGACCAAACAGAAGAGCAATTTGCCTTCTAGCTGCTCTGGCAACCCGGCGTTCACTAGCCTTACTGTCATCGATATTTTTGTCAGGGATAGTTCCATACTTCTGAACCAAGTCTTGCAATAACTGCTTTGGGCCATCCGATCCTTGGTTGTACTGTCTCAAGCCCAATTCCACAGAAGCTGAAAAGGCTGCAAACTGATCCAGACGAATGCGTTCCACTTCTGCACTAGTCGCCGTTTGCGGAATGCTAACTCCAGTGAACCAATATCGTTGGCAGTTTTGGTCAAAGTTGAGCAGAAACCTTGACAGGTAAGTGACAAAGGCGACATTGTAGCCCACGGTTTCAACATCTGTGACGGTAACGCCAGAACGCTTGTTGACTGGATTGGTTTCCCATGGCAGCGGAGGAGTGCTCGCAGACTTGCTGTTGTCAGCTGCAGTGGCCTTTTCCAAGAGCACGGAATTGGTCACAATGGCGGCAGCAGCAGCAGCCATGAACACGCGGCGATTCATGGGCTGCAGAGTGCCCACTCTAGTAGTCCGATCCAGTCCATAGCTTGAGTTTGTCTCTTCTTCCTGAGAGTCATCACTTTGGCTCGACGACTTCGTAGCTTGTAGTCCGGACAAGGAGTTGATGCCCTTGCTGTTGCTGAGAACACCTGAAATGGCCCATTTCCGCCCCGATGGCGGTGATAGCGACTGTGAGACACCAAGCTTCTTTGTCCAGATGCTGTTTGGGAGAGCTTGAAAGCTAGCTACATGACCCCAGCACCCGATGATCAGCAAGATAGACGAAAAGGAGAGATTCATCTTGTCTCTCAATTAAGTTCTCCCTTCTTTAATGAGTCCTTTCCACATCTTTGGTCGATTTCATGCAAAGCATCCAGTATTGTCTCTCCTTATAGAAGTGCCAGTTGTTGATTTTGATTGCATCATCTCGATTGGATCATTCATCTCGGCTGAGTGGACGCTTTGGGCACGCCTCATCACGCATCCCTTTCAAAAAATGGATCTTCCAAAGGAAGTTCTTGGAAGCAGCAAGCAAAACCCTAAGCTTATCCCTAAAGGCTCGACACGAGCTCCCGACGACAACGGCACCTCAACACTCTTTCACTCGATCGTTCGACCACACCACCGGAAAGCAAGACTGCTGTGTTGACAGACCATGGAGAACCAAATCATAGCCGTCAACGACCAAGTGAAGCTGCTTCGAGCCGTTTTGCTTCGTTTTGTCGAGTCCGCGGCGCCGCTCGTATTCATTCGGGAGGCCTGCAAAACCAACAACGATCTTGTCACACACGAAATACTTCTTCGAGCCTGCAAAGGCGGCGCGGCTCCAGGAGCTGTGGCTTTTCTTGCAAATGAGATGCCAGAGCTCGTTCAGCAAGAAGATTCGGAAGGCCTCTTGCCCATCAACCACCTCGTCATGTGTGCTCAAGTCGACGAGGACGATGTGAAGGCGCTTGTGGATATTTTCCCCAAAGGGATCACGCACAAAGAAGAGAACGACCGCATTTCCCCATTGAACCATATCATTGCAACGTTTTCGGCGAAAATGATACTCTACTGCTTTCAGAAGTTTCCCCGAGAAGAAGTAAAGCTTACCCTGATTCTGCTGAGCCAAGCCACGGTCGCATCACTGGGGAGCCTTCGTCAAGTTCTTCGAACCGGTATCGATTGTGGCTGCATGACGGGTATTTCTTTGCTCCTTGATCGGCAACAGATCAAAACAATTCTCATTTCAAATCTTTTTGCCTGGGAGGAAGGCATCTATGCACAGTTTCTCTCCCGAATCGTTTGCAATGCGGCCGTGGAAGCTTTAGGAATGTCGAATATGGCATCGACACCCAGCAATCTGGCCTCGACACCCAGAAATCTGGAAACTGTCATGAACGTGGCGAGATCTGGTACATGCGCCTTGAAAGTACTTTTCCTGGACCAGCTTACGTGGTGGAATTTGCTCGAGGTGGTCCCTTGTATGCACCATCTTCAATTTTTGGGCATCATAGGGGATACTTCCGGAGACTGCTATCAAGCATATTCCCCATTGCTCTGCCGAGTCTTCGAGGACATCAATTGCAGAATCATACTCTTGGAAATCGAGGACCGACCAGGAAGTTTGGAAGTGATGCTCCCGCTTCTTCGAAGCTTTCAACGTCACAACGTTCTCAAGTCATTCACATTCGAGGTTCTATCAAAGGAGAACGAGAGTTCGGAGGACTTTGAAGCGGTATGCGTTGCCCATCTAGCAAACCTTCCACACGACCTGGCTGCGCTTCTGAAGGAAGGCAAGAATATGACTCTGCAGGAAGTATCTTTTACGCCAAGTCCACATGCTGGCCTCACTCCAGTCACCGACCTGCATGCACTCATTACGCTGAATGCATGCGGTAGGTGCCTCAACCCGACCATTCACCAATTTGTCAAGCTCCTCATTCGAGTTTCGTCGAAAAGAATCTCAGAGGACCAAATTCGTTGGGATGACCCCGTGAACTTCACCTGGGAAGCAAGGTGCCGTGCAATGGGGCAAAAGAAAGACCCGTTGAAGTTTGATTCGGATGCTGCTGAGACTCAACGTGAGGAAATTGTTGCAGGGATGAACGGTGCCCGCCACGTGAATGCGTACTACCATTGCATTCATGAAAGTCTCCAATGCGACGGATTGGGTCTCTTGCAGCAACTCCGTGATTACGCGTCTGCCGACTTAAGAAGGAGCTGTCTGCAAATGGACGTTGCTCGACGTCCCGCGGCAACTGAGGTGGATTGTTTGTAATGCCAGGTTTGACACATAGTGCGCAGTGATAATAGAGTAACTGTAAGATACGTGCACCCTTTCAGCCTCTTGGCGTGCTCCGACGATCGTTTATACTAGCAACTCAGTACAGCCACAATTGATTTCCTGCCTTGTGTGGTGTGGCTGTCCTTCGCGAGCGATGTCGTCATGATTGATACGGTAGTAGTATTCGGTCAAGATGCGAAGAGTACCGGTACCGCAGATGTTACCAAATGTCAATTCTATCATTGTTACCCTGTTTATGTACATGTCGGTACGGCAAGTTTTGCGTCACCCCACCTTGACGTTATTCATTTCATTTTGTGACGGAGGCGTGCTGGTATCCTACTCTCCTGCCAAAGCCCTTCATTTTCCTTCTGATCCACAATCCATCCTTTTTCATTCATTCTCGCACAAAGAGCGTCCCTTTGCTACTAATGCTACTTCGAGCACTGGAATGGCTCCATCGACCTCTCGGATGATCTTCGTCGAGTTCCGAGTCACTGGCCATTGATTCGGTGGCAATGGTCAGTTCCGAAGTGGACGTCTTCTTTTGAAAAATAATCATGGCGGCCGAATCTTCCAAGTTGGCAGAAGAGTTGTTGTTGTTGGACAAGGATTTCAATTTGGCGGAGAGTCGTTGTTGGTCGTAGTCTTCTTCAATTTCCACTCGTTGTTGCGCTGCTTGTCCTTGATGTTGCAGAATCTCTTGCACTCGATCACACACCGCCGCCATGCTCAATCGTTGTTGCAAGTTTTGATTCCATGCTTGATGCAACAACGTTTCCAATTCCCGTGCTAGCAATCGTGCCGATTCGTCCGTCTGACATTCCGCCGGCCATTGAATCTCCTTTATGCGCGGTCGTCCACCGAGTCGACAGACGAGTTCTTCGTGCAACTGACACGTAAAGAGGGCGAATGGTTTTATATGACTCAACATTTCGTAGAGCACCATGGCCCAGGAGTAGACGTCTGCTTTGTAATTGTACTTTCCGGGTGGATTGAATGTTTCCGGTGCCATATAACGACGTGTGCCACTAGCGGACAGCGAGTAGAGTTTGGATTCGTTCGATGCTGGTTCGTCGAGTTCCCGTGCCAAACCAAAGTCAAAGAGTTGCAACTTGTATTGCTTCTTGTCGTCACCGTCACCGTCGTTGTCATCATGTGGAGCCGAAGAATCCAGAATGAACCCAACATTCTCGGGCTTTAAACTAAAGAAGGATGATGGTGCATGTCAGTCTCTTGTCTATCGTGGTCTCAATCGCAGTCAATTTCGTCCTCAAATCAAGCAATTTGTGGATACTTACTCTCGATATAGGATTTGATGATCGTGCAAGTACTTGATGGCGTCTGCCATTTGCCAAGCGTACCGTGTTTTGGCCAGAAGGAGCGACAGGGGCTGCCGTGGTTGTTGTTGCTGTTGTTCACTGCTGCTGTTACTACTACTTTTTCTTCCCGTGGCGTACAGTTTCTTCCAAGTCAACTGAATGCGCTGATCGAGTGTTTCCTCCATACTATCGAGCAGTAAAAAGTAATCCCCACCAACGGCTCCCTTGCGTTTGAGGACGGACGTCCCACCCAATGTGAGTCCTCGCAGTTGTACAATATGAGGATGACGCAATTTGGTCAAGTACATGGCTTCGGTGACCAAATCGGCAATGGCCGACGTCAAGTCCTTGGCAAACTTGCGATGATGGCGACTGGCAAAGAGTTTGTTTTGAATGTGTTTCATCACGTAGCGGTGTTCCGTGTATGCGTACTCGTTGTCACCAGGAGTGCGATGACGGATCCGATCAATGGCATGAACTTGCGAGAAACGTCCTCGGCCCAACAATTCTCCAATCTCCAAGTCTTTGCGTCGATAGAGTGGTAGATCGGCCGTAAAGGGCAAATCGGCCAACGTACGAGTGCTCACACTGCTCACACTCGGTTGCTCGTCGTGGACCAGACTGCTCACACTCTCATGACTGACGGTTCGAGCGTAGTAGGGGGAACTCGAGGGCATGGCCGCGGTGGTCATGATGGCTATTATGGGTTGTTTGTTGACGCTGATGCTCCTGACTTTTTGAGAGTTGAACTAACTAACAAATCGTCTTGGTAGAAAGAAATTGTTGTGGCAACCACTAGCTAGCTTGCTCTAGCTAGGTGGCTTCGCTTTGATCTTCCAAAGAGCACCGAAACTGCACGGAGCTCTCTCTGGTTTGGTTGACCTGTTGCTGTTGATTGATAGCTCCAGAAAGCCTTGTCTGCTTTCCTGCCGCTGAGTATTGTTGTTACTATGGTAATACAGACGCGATTTTCCTTTTTGGCTTGGCTTTTGGTTTTGTTCACTACTCTGAGTACCAGTACTCGCTCTCTTCGGTATTGCTTCTATCAGGGATGAATGCGTGGCAAGCTCTGTGAACCTTTGCCAAGTCAAGTGAACTCTGTCGCCTGATTGATTCTAGCCAGTTCGTGATGAAGACTGGCAGCTTTGCTTTTGCGCTTTGGAGATTTGCTTGGAGAGTGTAGAGTTGAGGGAAGACGTGGCTTAGCCGGTCAGCGCGTTCTTCTGCTACTGAAATACATGTAATGATGAGCTAATGATGAATGCGAACTGCCTGCCCACTCCACTTTCAATTTCAATGGTTGTGTACAGTAAAGAAAATAATTAGCGCTACAACAGGAGTGGTTTACGGAAAAACAAAGGTGAAATGGCTACTGTTGCCATGGGAGTTTCAATGGTTCGTCAATCTATTGGACTACTTTTGACTATGCGGCTGTGCTGTTGTTTACTCGGTGTTTAGGCTTTAATCTTTCACTTCGACTTTGGCACAGACCAACTTGTCGTTCCTATTAATAATTCGGACACTGGCAACGAACAGCTGAGTACACGTCATTTAATAGCAGGCGCATGCTCAGACGGAAGAAGCGAGCAGAAGGAACGGGAGAGGAAGGCAATAAAAGCGAGAGGTGGCGCACCATTTGGCAAGATCGAGCCTCGTAAGTTTCAAGGTCACTTCGGAAGAAGAGGTGCAATCAAAATGGGGGGTGAGAGCAAAGATGCCAAGAACAAGATACAAGTGCACCACCATCAACCTTTTCAGAACCAACGTATTCCTCTTTCAAGGGGAAGGAGAGCATGTGTGGTGTGTGAATTGGGGGATGGAGCTTCTGCTGCATTATTTCTGCACCTCTTTCAAGCTTAGAAACCGTCTCGAATGATTCCGAGTCCCAAAGCAATGTTGGGATTCCAAAAACTGCTCAGATTCAGGTTAGGGTTCGAAATAATCACAAATGCTGCATAGCCAACTAGCCAATCCCACCGGAATCGGTTCCACCGTGTTCTTCAATTTGAGACGCAATTCAAGAATTGGTGAACTCGTCTCAAGAGCATTAGGTACATTACTCCGGTACCCATATTTATTAAATCTTTGGATTAGAACATTTGCGACCTCGTAAAAACTACCGGGACTACGCTGTATTACCCTCATCCAGCATGGGAGTGACAGCGAGTCGAGTCGAGTTCCGCCGCGCCCGCTGTGGGAGTCGGGAGTCGAGTCGAGAGTCGAGTCCTCGGTCAAAGCTCCGCCGTGAAAGTTCGCTGCGCAGCACGGTCGTCGTTCCGCATCGATGCTGAGAGAGGGTTCAAGGGATAGCCCGTAAATGATACGAAGGAAACAACGGCTTAGGCTGACTGGCTAGAGCTAGCTAGCTAGACATTCGATCGGTTAGCTCCTACTCCCATGAACGGAGTGAAGCCAAACTCTGAAAACGAAACATCACATTCGCTCTTGCCCGTGTCCACATCCTTGCCTAATGAATCCATGGCAAACCTGGCACTCCGTTGCCCTGCAAAGAAAGCACCGTGTACGAACTCAGAATGTTCATAACACGATGCTGATCCCGAAAACTGGACGATCCACTCTCCGAGGGAGTTGCAACCATTATGATCACACCTGGAGGAAAACTCATCCACACCTCCAAAGAATCTTGCAAATTCTGAAAACGTCCTGCCAACTTGCCAGTTGCCATATGCTCCATACCCAAAGTCTCTATCCAGGTTTAGTTTTGGGTAGTACGTCGCGATGGGAGTCCCAACAGTGCTGGTGCCATAGGCACTGCGAAGAGGGTCCAGTAGAGAATCCAACGTTGCTGCTGAGAGCTCCAGCGTGGTTGAATCAATGAGTGCCTCAAAGGCCTCCGTCATGAGCTCACATCGGATGATTCCACTTCCTGGTATCTCCACATCCATATCTTGCCAATGGTGACACTGACCTCGTTGGCTAACATCTCGCATAACATAGACAAACTGCTTGCTATCCCAGAACTTGGTCGAGAACTGATAGAACACCTTGATGTATTGAGCCATTTTGTAAGGATTGGTCGTTTCTGGTGGATAGGCAAGGCTGGGTCTGTAGATGATCCCATTGCTGTTGTGAACTCCAACGCTGACGGTGTTGATGACACGCTGGGCATAGTATTCAACGAAATCTGTGTTTACGATGGCCTTGTAGAGTGGTCCTGGTCCACCACAAAAGTTCACATCATAGTTGATGGCTTGGACTTTGGTGTTCAAGCGAATACGGTCCGAGGGCACGTTGTTGGCCTGGTACGTTTGGACAAGATGCTCGAATCCTCGCTGATCCGTTACCAGATACGGATCACCGCTCTCATACGGAAAGAACCTTTGCGAGGTATCACTCTCCGCATATTCAAAGTCAACAAAGAGCCACTGGAAGATGTAGTCCATGTTTCCTGATGAGTCGGATGCCACGTTCCAACCGTTTTGGTTCAACAAACCCACGACGCCCTTGTCCACAAAGCCTGAGTCCCCAGTGTCTTCAAACTCATTGTCTGCATCCTTTTCCGCCTCACGGAACGCATCGAGGAAAACATCCAGCCTTGCTTGAGCAGTGGCATCGGCAACTTGAGTACCCTGTCAAAAAGAAAAAGCATCAAGTACCAGCAGAGTTCAATCATCAACAACAGTGCTTTATCAAAGGGAGAACCACAATTACCCGTCAGCAACTTACAGTGGTATCATACATTGTAAAGTCTCGATAGTCGTTCTTGAAACTTTGCAAGCCAAGATCGTTAGCCAACTGCCAAGCTGTAATATAGTCAGTAAAGAATCCAAGTGAGACTGACTGACTGCATTGCAAAGAGCCTTCAGCATGACTGCATGCAACGTACTCGGATAGCTGCTATCTTCGTAAAGCCAGTTTGCCCCATCTTCGACCACGAATTGTTTTCCAGCTGCTCCAAAAGTGGTGCTTCGAACTCGACCTCCAATGCGATTGGAGGATTCCAAAATGATGTAGCTGATATCTGGGTCAATGGCTTTGAGTTCCGCAGCGGCTGCCAACCCTGCCATGCCAGCCCCGACGATTACCACATCATAGAATTCTTGAGTGACCGTGACTCTGGGCTCTGCAAGGATGTTCTGGATCCTTTGCCAGGCACTTTCCAAAAGCCCGAGTTTCCGATGAGGACCACGGCCACGACGAATATTGCTGCTGGATCCTTCACTTTCACCAGTCGTACTGGCAGATCCCTCACACAGGCACAACAATGCGATACATAGTACAATGCTCTTCCACATTGTCATCATCTTTCACTGAGCTCTGATCTTTATATTGCCTTCTTTCCAACCAGCCACTACACTACTAGTGAGCAAGTAGAGTGGGCAAGTATGATTATTTCATCATGTATGTGAAGATCCATTGGCGGCAGTTGCTTGGATGATACCCGAATGCTAGAATGAATGAGCCCTCTGGAAGCCACCGGAACATGACAGCATGCATTCATCAACATGGATTTATCCCACCATTGGCGTTAATTTTTCACAATACATGTGGCACCATGATGCCTACATGTTGGCATCCGTTAGGGTGGCTTGAGCTATGGGAGGCCATTGTTGGTATTTCATCATTGCTGTGATCAGTGACTTTAGTGGAGGAAACGGCGAAAAATGAGGTATCGCCTGACTCTCTATTCCCCTGCAGAGCTGATAAATAAAGTGTTTACAAGATGAAGGGTATCTTTGAGACTCTTATCTTTCGCACCCAAATGTCTCTCGATGACCATAATCTGCCTCCGAGAGGCAAGAGCAGGATCAAAGAATAGTGAGAAAGAATCATGGAATCGCTGCAATTCGACAATGATGATCAGGAGAAAGCGTGCCATGATCTCTTGAAGGAGTTATCCGAAGCAGAGGTGGAAGCAGCAGCGTTGACGTCGTTTCACTACGCTCTGGTAGCTGCCAAGGAAGCCAACTCTCCGAGTACCGAAGGAAAAAATACCCAACAGAAGACCCAGTGCGCTCTTCGTATGATCCGTCGACACTTGGTTGCTCAAAAGAACAACCGAGAGGATGCTATGAAGAGCGTGCATGAAACGTTGGAGTTTCGCAATACGAACCGAGTCAATGACATTCGATCCGTCAACTTGAAAGCCAAAGGCGCGGAAGATGATGACCCCTTTCTGAACCCAATTCGGGACGCCATCATCGCCGATGCGGTACCCAAACCCAAAATGATTGTCCGCGGAAACGACAATGAAGGGCGAGCTACGTTGATCAAGTTTCAGAATTCCAGATTTGTTCTGCGAGACAATCCCGATCTGTTCATACAAGTGCAAATCTATTGGGTGGAGCGGGCCATTGCCTGCAGCGAACGTCACGGGCAAGAAAAAATCAATCTGGTCATGGATTACACGGGGTACTCGAGAGACAACAAACCACCTGTTTCGTTGCTACGCAGATTCATTACCACCCTGCAATCACATTACCCCGAACGACTCCATTTGATGGTTGGCTGTGATCCCACCCTGCTGCTCAGGTCCATTTGGAGTGTCGTTTCGTGGTTTGTGGATCCTGATACACGGGAGAAAATCATGTTCGTGTCGGGAAAGGAAGCCAAGATGCAGCAAGTATTCAAACACTACGAACCCGAGCAGGCCATGGCGTTTCTCTTACCTTCGGGAACCTTGGGGTTGGTCAAGGAAGATGAACTGCGCAAGTTCATCTTTGAATACAGGTTGGATCAAAATTATGATGGGCACTAGTCTAGCTGGATAGGTAACGCCTTCATACCTACCAACTCTATCGACGATCTCGCCATAGTCTACGCTGCACTGTGGCTACATGTATGTTGGCAGCTTCACATTCAATGGGGCTTCTAAACTTTGAAAACTTGTGCTTTACACCAAAGCAAGAGCAACACGGGGTTCCGGTGGGCTTATCAGTTCTTTTGTCTCGTTCAGTGTACACCCCTGATAGTTTTTTATATATGATAGATTATCACACGTTTTAAATACATTATGGTAATGGCTTGCGTCACCTCACCGTGACGAATACAATAGTCAAGCCTTTTACGTTTCTCTGTTGTGACGCGCTAGAAAATCCTGCGTCCATTGGGCCCATTCATCTTGAACGGTCGGGTCCAGCATGCAAGCCGCGTCTCCTTCAAGTTCATACAGCTTCATTTCATGGTAGAACTTGCCATGGATACCTTTCGCCTCGGGACTTGTCGCTAGCCAAACGGGTGCCACGGCTCCTTCGGCAGGTTGCTTCCAAGTCTTTTTGACCAATCTCAAGAGAAACCCCATACACCCATCTGATGCCCCTAATCCAGTACGGATCACACCCGGGTGGACAGCATTAAAAGTGACACGTGGTGTTGCGCTTGAAGAAACCTGCTGAAGCCGGGCTTGTCGCAGACACCAAATCATGCCGCACTGTTTGGTGTGCATGTACGTCTTGAAACGAGAAAAGTCCTTTCCAAGTGGAGTCTTGGTCACATCAGCCTTGCCAAAGATTGCCAGCCCGGCGGTGACGAGGACAACACGAACATCGGTACCATTCGTTTCCATTTGGGGCAAGAGCTGCTGGGTGAGAATCAAAGGAGCTACGTAATTGACCATAAAGGACATTTCCAGTCCGTCCTCATTGATTTGACATTCTGACGGCCAGAGACCAGCATTGTGAACAAGGACTTGCAGTTTGGGGAACTGTTCGAGGATGGACTTGGCAGCCGCTCCAACCTTTTTAATGGAGCTCAGATCGCCCACAACGACTTGAAGCTTTTTATTTCCCGTCTTCTCTTTCAACTCTTTCAAGACTTGCTCACCTGCATCTGCATCTCGGCACGTAAAGGCCACCACATGCCCTTGACGCAGCAACTGCTCCACAATGGCCTTCCCAATACCGCGGTTCCCCCCCGTCACCAGGACGTGTTTGGGCTTCCATTGGGCATCAGGAGGAAGTTGAGTATTGAGATAATCCACAATATCATGCTTTTCCTCTTCTAACGCCAAATCGATGGGTGTCAGATCCGTCATTTCTTCCACAAGCTTCGGATCAGCAAGAGTGGATTTGAGGAGCTTTTCTCCCTGATACTTGCCCTCCACCAAGAGTTCAATTACCTCCAAACGATTGTTCCGAATCGCCTCAAATATAGGAGCAGTAAAGTACTCGGGGTGCTGATAATTTGGATCTACTCCTTGCTGCAAGTGGTATTTAGCGGCAGCGAGGTCTCCCACCTCAGCCGCTTTGACCAGATCTTTCCAGTTGCCACCTTGCGATGCCATTCTTCTTTGTTCGCAGCGAATCGAATCGGTTCTGTACCAGGTAGCTTCCTTGTTGGTTGGTTGATACTATTTTCTCTTTATGCAATAAGTGTGACCGAGAGGAAGTTGAAGGAATGTTTGCAATTTGTGTTGGGCAGGATGACAAGGATCCATCATGAGAGCGTTGTCATTTGTGTTGTTCTGAAGATCCAGCGAAACACGACTAAAAAAAGCTAGCTGAAAGGGCCGGAAATCACGATTTTATGAATCCAACCAAATTGATCAATTCGAAACCTAAATATAAAACCGAAACCTAAATATATAATCGAAACCAAAATATAAAATCGAAACCAAATTACTATGGTAATTAACTAGTAAAATCAAGCCGAAACCAAAATATAAGATCGAAACCAAAATATAAAACCGAAACCTAAGTATAAAATCGAAACACAAGTATAAATCCGAATTTGGTGTAAATCGCCATTTCGGGCCCTTTCGCTAGCCTGGACGCCTGGGAGGAGCAGGAAAACGCATTACACCACTACACAAGCCATTACACACTACATGGAAGTACTATTTTATAAGGGTATTCAACAGCTACCCTTTTTGGTTACATGAGCACTCAACAAGTTGCTCCTAGATTGGTTGGTTGTTGTAGTTGTTTACAGTGTGCCTAACACACATCAAAGCCATGGCTGTTGTTGAGTTTGTCTAGTGATGAGGGGTCAGGTTGTTGTATTCAATATCACCCTTCTTCTTGCCCTTGGCATGCCTCTTCCTCATGACAAAGGATTGAGCTACCCTTTTCTTCCTTTTCTCAGCCAAGTCAACATGGCAAAACAATGCACCAGACTCAAAGCTGGGGAAGGTAACATTCAAAGTAGAGGGATCAACTGGAAATGGCAGCTCCATAGTGAACTCTGAAATGACATCACCCCTGACATCAAGGATGGACCTGACATACTGCTGCATGGCATGGCGCCTGACATTGGTATCCTCTAGGTTTTCCTTTGTGTGTTGTTGATAGAGATAATAGAACTCCCCAATATCCAAGAGGTCTTGGTGCCACTTCTCACTGATAGTCAGCTTCTTGCCATTCGCAGAGACCATGGTTTCGATGTCGGCTTCAGTCGCGCCACTGCTGAGCCACACAATGATAGTCACATGGCGAATGCCATGTTCGTTCTCCCACTCCTTCACCATCCTCTTTGGCTTCCAAGTAGTGGGGCCATCCTCGTCAGCATCAGCTTCAACATCATCATCATTGTCAGCAATGGAAGGAAGCTGCGCAACTGCAGGAGGCCTGGCTGCCACGACAGGGACTTGGTTGCGAGGAACAAAGCTGGGAAGAATGGGTAGTGGTCCATCATCATCTTGTGGTGGTTGTGGTCCTCTGAGAGCAACACCAGCAGCCATTCCTCTGGCTTTGTTGAACTGAGAGCGAAACTGGTTTGTGGAGTACTTCTGGAATCGCTCATGCATGGCTCTCACAGCGGCGGGTTGTTCATCAGTGATGGTCCCATTGTGGAACAAGCGAAGTAGGAACTTGAAGTCTGGACCATCTTGCTTGAAGATGTGCTTGACAGGTTCCCCTTTCTTTGCGAGGCTCTTTCTGGAGGACATGGTCGATCTGCCGCTTGCTGTTTCTTGCTGTTTCCTGCTTGGCCAATTGCTGTTGCTTTGGTTGGTGTTTTCGATTTGTGAGAGGAGAGAGGAAGAGAGGAAGAGCGCCATCTTGAAGATCGCTTGACTAGCTAGCTAGTTTACTACTGATAGTGGTGGAAAGCCACACCTGTGCAGTTTCGCTTGTTGAGTTTATGCAGTTCCTTTACCAGTACAGGCAAGATCAATACCGGCAAGATCGATCTTGCCAGGCGAGTGAGTTGGTGGGAATAAAATTTCAGACGCATGTGGTTCACGGGAAGGCTTAGAGGTCATACTGGTTCACATGGTCATTATAACAGTTCGCGATTTTTCTTTGCCTCTCAGTCATGTGGAATGGCGCGCCGCTTGCTTGGCCAACTCGATTCCAACCGTTGGTTCCACAAATGAATCAATTGTTTCTCACAATTTTGACCTCCATTTTGCAAGGGTGTTCTGAGGGCGTGCTATGCCATCACAGAATGGCCCCACACACATATCGCCAACTTGGAGGGGCGATATTGAATGCCACAAGGATCCAGCCTGACCAACATGGGCGGTCCCTTCTTGTACTACTATTAGCCAGGGCAAAGGAGCCTTAGTTGACTAGGAAAGGACCATTCTGGCTTTCTAGATCGCTCCCTCAAAGTCCCGATCCAGGGCATCCTAACGTCCTGGAACGCTTTTTACCAGGGCGTTGTACACTCCTCAGCACTGGAAACAGCCATTGCTAGTGTTGAATCAACTACTCTGAAGTATACTACAGCAGCCTCTATTGGCTAGACATATTGGTATTGGTCAAGTCTCTTGGTAACACATATCCCACTGGCGGTACACCTGTAATGGGGCGATTTTCGTCTTAGGCGATGAAAGGTCCAGCTTGCCACAGTAAAACCCCATTATTTTATACAAAAATGTAACCAAAAAAATGTAGAGTATTTGAATAATTGCGCGAAAATGATACACATATGTACCAAACGTCCGGAACGTCCGGCAGTCCTCTCTTAAGCTGGTTCGCATTTTGCCATTCCGAGTGACTTCAAGTGGTGTCAACCAAGCAAACCGGCAAACCAGCAAAATAGACACTATTTCTTCAAGCGATACATCCACCATGACCACCACCATCTCTTTTGTGCATCTCTTTCTGCCGGTACTAGCATCTCTTTTGGTCTTACAAGGTTGTCGATGGTCACCGCCTACTAGATCTACATGGCGCTACAGGTGGATAGGACGGGATTGCTTTCATGGAGAAATTGCGACCATTCTGATGTAGCTGTTGTTGGTCCATGAGATTCTCCCACAAAATTGACTTTCGCTCTTCTACAACAACATGCAGATAACAGCTGACACTGTCATTCGCACTGCTTCCATCTACCAAGGGCTCACAGCCAGGGCAGTGGATCATGAGACATATCGCTACCACCGGACGTTTCGAGGATGCTTTGGTGTCTGTCCTGAGCTGGCGGCCGAACTGTGGAACATGCTGGATGATGCTGATCCAATGAGCGACATCAGATGGGTGACCTACTTCCTGGCTACACTCATGTTCCTGCGCACTTACACAGTCACTGCTGTTCTGGCCATGATATTCATGAAGGATGAAAAGACCATTCGGCATTGGGTGTGGGTATTCATCGAGAAGATAGCCACTTTGGACTTGGTGAGCGATGAGCAAGAATTCGCTTTCTTCTTCATTTTTATCCATCGCCGTCTTCACCAACAGAGAGCCCTCACCATGTACATGCTGTTGCACTCCAACACCACTCCTCCAGATCAGATGGGAGTACCGACGATGAATGACAATGGCAGTCGGTGTCTGGTAACTGTTGATGGAACTGACTTTCGCATCAGGGAACCAGGTCCTTTCTCAACTGGTTGGTTTACCAAGAAGTTCAATGGTCCTGGACTGAGGTATGAAATTGCTGTATGTATTCAAACTGGATGGATTGTGTGGATCAATGGACCCTTCCCTTGTGGCGAATGGGTTGATATTGCCATTTCTTTGTCATCTTTGGTCCACATGTTTGAGGGAGATGAGAGAGCTGTGGCTGACAAAGGGTACAGGGGGTATCCTCAGTACTTTGACTGCCCATGGCGACACCTTGACAATCAACAGCAGACTAGCAGGAAGGCTCTTGCAAGGGCCAGGCATGAATGTGTCAATAGGAGACTCAAGGAATGGAGCTGCCTCCTTCAGAGGTGGCGCCATTCCCTTGATAAACATGGTAAGATGGCCATGCTGTGGCCAACATTGTGCAGCTCCAAATTATGGAGCGGCCAATGTGGCAGGTGGACTACTATGATAGAGTCAACAATGAGTTTGACTTTGATTATTATTAAATAGTTTGTAGTTACTCTACTAGTTGCAGCCTCACTATTAGCCATAGCATTGACAGTCAACAACCAACCAGTCTACTCAGGTGTGTAATGCTTGTAATGCGTTTTCCTGCTTCTCCCTGGACAATCGATTTCTTTGGGTGCAAGGCAGGTGGACGGGAAGACGGGCGATCTACGGAAGTGACAGGGTGACCAGTTTAGGAAACGAACAGGGAATCAGGACTACGAAAACCGTAGGTTACCTGGGATCATTGGACGACAAAATTAGGGCCCAAGGAGTGCTTGGATTTGCGGGATCCACAGAGACACAAATATGTGGCTTTAACAAGGGAAATTGAGAGCCGTGTCTTGATATCGAACATCATTTGGGAATAGGATTCTTGAGCTTTGTTGGTGTTGACATGACAAGACGTTGCAAAGAAGGGGTTTTGGAAATGGGGTGAAAAGCCGGGATGTGGGGGTCTGACAAAGTTGGGAGTGGATGATGTCTAGATTCAGCCCTCTCAGCCAAAAGAGCTCTCCGTGCTCGAGTAAGTGATTTTTAATCCTACAAGTGGAGGTCCAGCCTGAACGACCGAAGAAGTAAAGCATTCACAGGCAATAGCACCGAGTTACTTGTAGGTACCGGCATGTGGTTGCTAGCTAGTGCGCCCTTTTATTACTGCTACACTTAGAAAGCACAAACTCTTCCAATGCGGCCCATGCCTTGAGGTACAATACAAAAGGGTATGGATCATTTGGAATGTTGCATGTGATGTTGATTGCTTCGTTGTGGTCCAGGAGATAACCATGGGAAGTATGGCCATTCTCCCCCGCTTCTTGGCTACTGGATGGTACCTGGTACCGCATTCCATTGGAACAAATACTTTTGTTGAGATGTATTTGCTTCAGGTCTAATGCGGTACTCAGAGCAAATAAGCATGTTGGCAACACTTTCATCCACAAACGCAGCCCCTCCCTCAAAACCTCGCGTCTCGGCACAACACAGCCATGCATCGGTGCTTTGTCTACCTGATCTCAACATCTAGCTAGTAGCTACTAGCTGCACTACAATGCCCTGTCTGATCCTGACGGGCCACCCATGTGTGGGCAAGACTACCTTGGCAGAGGTTATCAAGGAACGAGCCCTGCAACACTCCTCCCATCTCATTTCCTCTGTCGTAATTGTCAATGAAGAAATGGCTTGTCCGGGTCTCACCAAGGCCCAATGCTACTTGAATTCACACAATGAGAAAAAGACACGAGGAGCCTTGAAAACATGCTTTGATCAAGCAGTCGTAGGTGGCTCGGCTTCCAAAGCTGCTAATGAAGGACAGACAGAAAAGCATCAGCAACAACTCGTCATCTTGGACTCTTTGAATTACATCAAAGGATTTCGCTATGAGTTACACTGCATTTCCAAATCGGCAGGAAGACAACATGGTGTCATTTGGGTACTCAACTCCATGGATCTGGCCAAGGAGTGGAATCAAAAGAGAAATCAGCAACAACAACAATCTGAAGCAGCAAATAGTGACAAACCCCACTACTATTATTCGGACGCGACCATAGATGAACTCATCCTCCGATATGAGCCACCCGACGAACGAAATCGATGGGATAAGCCACTCTACAAGGTAGACATGAGACCACAGGAATTGAAGTCGCAGCAACAAAATCAGCAGGGAAAGACTGCGGGAGAGATATTGGAAAAGAGTGTCTACAATATGCATGCTTTGAGTGATGTAATGGGGTCAACCGGACAAGAAAAGGATCCAGCACAAGCAGAGAACGGTGGAGTTACCAGGGAAAACACATCTGATACAACAGCAACAGCTGCTGCCCCCAAGAAAAAAGGTTTCAAAGGCTTCAAACGAGCTCCAAAGACGGCCAAACCATTGGCGGCAACCGTGATCTCGGCAGCTCCATCTACAGGCTCTAGTAACAACGCAACCGACAACAACCCATTGCACTCCAACAATGCAAACAATCCCAACTCTCAGGATGAGCCCATATTGTATCCCAAGGACTTTCTATATTCCTCCAAACCATCGGAACAACCAATCCATACAGATGCTTCGTCCATGGACGGAATCAATGATTTCAATACCAACAACAATGACAATCCGCAACTAAGAGGTGGCGATGCACCATCGGTGATCAGACGAGGACCCAAAAAGGCACCCCGACCAGCACCCAAACAGCCTGATCCCCTCACTTCTGTGGAGGAACAAGTGGATTGCATTCTGGATGCCTTTTTGTTGCATGTCAAACCATTGCAAGAAGGATCCTCCACACGTCCTCATGTGGCCGTCAGTGCCAATGCATTACATGAAATGGATGCCGTTACTCAATCCGTCTGTGATACCATTGTGCGAGGAGGAGGTGGAGTTACTGTTGGTCGGATTCCCATTGTCTTATCACAGAGCAGCAAGCAGCAACAACTGTTTCTAAAGACGCATCGAACATTGTCCCCAGCCGAGCTGAAACGATTACGACGTCAATATCTGCGATGGGTGGGGGCCCATCCACCGGAGGATTGTGAAACTGAATATGGAATCGCAGAATCCTTTGTTTCCTACATTGAAGCCCAGTTATAGCGGCGCGCAAGCAGTACAAGGAGACTCTCCACAACGGCATTGAAATGTGTGGCGCCAGCTAGGCGCAAACTGGAGACAGATCTCGGAATGAATCGGCAACACAAAATTGGGGACCGAGTCGCTGGTCACCCAAAATGAAGAGAGGGAGAGCCAGCAATCGAGCATTCCGGGCGCAGAAATAGAGACGAATCTCAATCTTTTGCTTTGTTCCGTTGTCGGGGTACTCAAAATGCAAAACTATTTTAACTAGACTAAACGAAGTTAATGCGTACAGAAGTCACGGCGCCATTGACCTAATTCCATCACTGTCCTTCTAACAACACTCAATGTTTCCGCAGTCGGCCGTAACGGTGAGGGTAGGCACATTGCAGAGCTCAGTCGGGATAGCCCCGGAGACACTTGTGCCTTCAATGATAAGGGATTCCAAATTTGTCAGAGCCGCCCACTCTAACGGAATGGTCCCTGTCAGGCCTGCAATACCAAGAACAAAATAGAAATGAGATACACAGAGTCAAGCGGTGTCACCATGGCAAAACACACTTTGTCGACATACCGATGTTACCGCCGATATTAATTTCCCTCAAAAAAGTCAATTGACCCCAGTCCGCGGGAATCGTTCCAGTCCATTGATTGTCGTCAAGATGCAAGAACTGTAGGCTGCTGAGACTGGAAATGGTGGATGGCATCGTTCCCGTGAGGGCGTTTCGAGAAACGCTAAACAAGCGCAGATTGGACAATGCCGACAACTCCTCTGGAAGCACCGTGGTGGCATTTCCCGTCAATCCACAAAGATCCACACTGAGTTCCTCCAATTCCGTCAAGAGGCCCACCTCGGGTGCCACATACCCTGTCAACGAGTCGTCATTGAGCAACCCCAAAAACTCCATTTTATTTTCCAAATCACACGGCTGCGACTGAATCGACGCCCAGTCGCATTCGTGGAAATCGGCATCCAGCCAATTGAGTCGACGACTCAATGGCCACCTCCGACCATTAAAGGCATTAAAGAAGGTGGCCATGCCAAAGAGTTGCTGTTTCCTCCAATCCGGCAACTCTTCAAATCCGGGATATCCCTCGACAAAAAAGAAAGCTTGTCCCTGAGGGGTGCTAAAATCTCCCTGTTTGGCCACCGTTTCCGCGGACAACCCCGGCACAATGGATGTCGGTCCAATGGTGACGGGAGGCCCCGTGGGGCTCGACGTGGGAGACTCGGTTGTGGGGGCCATTGTTTCGGGTATGGCGGTTGTAGGGCTGTCTGTGATTGTCATGGTGGGACCTCCGGAAGGCATTGCCGTTGGTTCCTGTGTGGTTTCTCCAGCAGTGGGGCTGCTAGTGATGACTCGATCTGTGGGTGACGCCGTCTCCTCGACCATAATTGGGTCGGTGGGGGCAGCCGTCTCCACAACCATGGGATC